GACATTCAGACATTCAGACAGACAGACAGACAGACAGACAGACAGACAGACAGACAGACAGACAGACAGACAGACAGACAGACAGACAGACAGAGGGAAATAAAAAAAAGTAGGACCTACCCGTGGCACCCTCCAGCCACCGGTGTCCTGACCTTTATTGTCAGCCAGTGATGACGTAGGAAATCAGGTGCCTCTGTGACGTCTACGGCTATTGCGATTAATTAGGTGCCCCAGTAAGAAGAAATACGCATTTCAGCGAGAGCGAAAAATAATAATACTAATAATATTGTCTCTGTGGTAGAGATAAATATGTCTTTGCTAAGGTATTAATCGGGCCAGTATTATTGTATTCCATAAGTATTAAACACGTCACCGACCTATTCTGTATGCGCAGAAACTTTATTTATTTATTTTTTTGTTTTGTTTTTAGCAGAGGTTTTTACAGGGCTCGCAACTGCATAATATAAGGTCAAATGAGCGCCAGAAGATTAGAGGTGTCACAAGAGAGTAACAAACATAAAAAAAGAAGAAGGGGAGATAAGGACGATAGATGTTTAATAGGAAAGAAGAAGCAAACTACACCAGAGCACCCGCCAACAGCCCACGCAGAGACTTTAATAGTTGATTAGTTTCAGTATTGAAGTTGACTTTCTTTGTTGACTTAAAGTCATTTCCAAAATCCACTTTTTTTCTCAGTGAAAGTGAAAAAGTACTACTAAGCCCAAGTTCAGTTATATTCGTGTTTTGGGTTTGATTCTTCTTTGAACGGAAGGTATAATATTTACGGTATAAGAACACTGACCATACCTTAGCGCGCAAATAATAAAGTTTTCGGGCTCAACACTTTTTATGTCCTTTAAAAAAAAAACACACTTCATTTTTTTTAAAACTTTGATCAAAGGCACAAAAATACAATTTTGCAATTTCTAAGCACACTCAAGCTTTTGAAGTCATCCGTCATCAAAGTTTGACAATTATTTTCTCACTTATGTTTCTTCAAGCAAGATGTGACCCCCAACTCCTTCAGTCAGTCCCAAATCTAAATCTCGACTACTCTCGAATACGGGGTGCCCATTTGAAACACGATCAGTTCTATTCGGTTTGGAAGGCGGGGCTAGCCAGATTGAGGGCGCAAAGCGACCATCGTGAGGAACGAACCGATCGTGCGACTCGCAGTTCTTCAGGCGGCAAATGGGAGGATCGGTAGCGATCGGTTTGTCGATCCCCCAATGGGCACTAGGTATAAGATACATGTGAATATAAATTATGGGTTGTTTTTTTTTCTTCACCAAATCAAGGCTTATGAACAGGCAATACCGATTTCTATTTGCCCAAAAATTGACAAAACCGGATTCCACGTCACGTATCGTGAGACTATGTAGACTTGGAATGTAGAACGAATTCAATGTGGATAAATAACATGCTAGACACTAAAATCACTATAGGGAGTGACCTTGGCATCATGTGTCATAAACTCGCCTGTTGAGATGCTCTGATATCGATGTTTTGGTAATCTATAATCCTCTTTGCAGGGGGGGGGGGGTAAATCTGGCTGTAATCATAGCTTGGTGTACAGCTGTTGTTCTTGAACTGCACCGTTGGCCTGTGGCTTACGCGTGTACGGGTGATGCTGTTGTTACAGTGGTTGTAGTTGCTGCTGTTGTTGTGGCTGTTGCTATGGTTTTGCTGTTGCTGTTGTTGTTGTTGTTTTCGTTGTCATTGTCGTTATTGTTGTTTTTGTAGTTGCTGATGACTTAAAACAAAAAAATTCGACGACACAGACGTTCCAGTGGATTAACGACTGAATTAGATAAACGACTCCAAATCTGTGTATTTAAATTCTCTAACCACCCCTTCCTCCCCCCCCCTCCCCTTCTTTTGTTTCTCCCGTGCTCCTCCCATAGTGAGCTGCTGCAGATAGCCAGGCCACCAGGAGACCCCTAACGCCGCTAGAGGACGCTCGCGCCGCGGGGTTGTGACGTCAGACAGACAGGCGTGGTCACCATGGACTCCCTTCTGGCGCGGGTCAAGAGAGCGGCTGATGCTGATGCTCTAAACCCTGCCCAGGAAGGTGTCACGGGCGGTCCAGACGCTGCCGGCCTCCCTGATGTCTCTACGAGCTCGCCAGGGGGCGGAGGGGCGGGGGACAAGCTAAAGGAAAAGATGGACGAGTATAAGGATAAACTCATCAATGAAATCGAGAACTGTGAGTAAACTGTGCTTTGACTTCTCGTTAAGTGTTTTGTGCGTTCATCGACACTGTTTCGATCATTTAAGTTATTGTAAAACGTTTTAAACATCCTTCGACACTTTTAAGATCATTTAAGAGTTGTAAAAATGTTCTAACACCCATCTGCCATAATATTTAGATAATTAATTAACTGTAAAATTAATGCCTGGAGCACCCATCGACAATATTTATTTTGATAATCTAAGTGGCGGGTTATGTCTATCATGAACAAAGCCTGCCCTTAACGTTAAAGAGCCTATGCCTTTACAAAACAGACGTCAGTCTTTATTGTATGTAGCCTGTTCAATGTGGGACTATGAAGTTCGCATCAGTAGGTCAAGCGCAGTTAATTTGCATTTATTTATTCTCTTTTTAAGATATAATTTATTTATTTATTTCATTTTTTATTCTTTAATTTAAACGAGTAAATGCCCTACAAGATATAGTTGGGTCTGGTGTTTGTGATGTCATGATTGGCCTCATCTGTCAACAAACAAACTGCAGGAGTTTGATTGCTTTCTTGGGAAGCTACTAGTTTTTAATCGAATACTTCTACATTTCTGCTGAGGTGCCGTCTCCCAACACTTCGCTCAGGGTGGCCTTGACAGTAGAGCTGGGCGAAAAATCGATTTTGGAACCGATACCCACGATTAATGCTGAGGAAGTAAAGTTCCGGCTCCTTTTTACGTAAACCAACGGTTACCAGTTACTCTAAAATTATTAAAATCTTCTTTTGTTTTCTGATTTAATTTTTGAAAAATGAAAGTTGATGCTTCATAGTGTTCCGAAATCAAGGTTATCTAAATCCTGAAGATGTTCGGAGCCAACCAGGAGACCACTGGAAGAAATCACATCATTATAAAGTTAGTAATTGAGTTCGGAGTCGATTCCTACGATTCCTAGCTTTCAATAATCGGGAACCTAGCCGCCCAGCACTACCAAAGATAGTACATAACAAGATGGGCCACTTCTCTCTTTGAGCCAATTAAAAAAGTGTCCTCAAAATTTGGTGGCGCCCTCTTCACAAAAGCGCACTCTTTGCGAACAGAGTTACCCTACTTGAGTTTTTAAAAATCAAAGTGAAACTAGCAAGTTTTGG